TAGATTGTCTTTGACATTATTAGCACACTAACCAATACTGTTCAATTTATATTTTAAAAAGGATATACTTTTAAAAATTAAACATGGAAAAAAGTAAATGCTAATTTCATATTACGGACACGATTTCATTAAATATAAGTATATGCGAATATCAGTCGAGTATTATATTTATCGTATTAACATATAAATTATATCCAAATTTAAATGTGGTGTATGACGTCACACAATATACACCCTTTATTATGCCACTCAAACTTTTAAAAATTAAACATGGAAAAAAGTAAATGCTAATTTCATATTACGGACACGATTTCATTAAATATAAGTATATGCGAATATCAGTCGAGTATTATATTTATCGTATTAACATATAAATTATATCCAAATTTAAATGTGGTGTATGACGTCACACAATATACACCCTTTATTATGCCACTCAAATATATCTCACAACAATTCAACATCATGCATTTTAACGTTTATTGAAAGGCCATTAATATTCGTACAAAATGTGCATGCACAACAGCGTAAAACATTGTCTTTAATTCTGTTAACATATGATAAAGTACAATATCTAAAACAACGTAGGAACTATACTGGTTCTCATAAAATTTTGAAAAAAGTAAAATACAAATTTAATATTAGAGTACCTTATTTCAAAACGCCGAATATGTTAACATGTAATCAAATACTAGTTAAAAACGTGGAAAATGACTTCAAACAACATGCAGCCTTCATTATTATGCCACTCAAATCAAATGTTAGCTTACCTGACAACACCGACCAGCATGCATTTTGAGGTAGATTGAAAGGCCACTCCAATTTGCACAAAATACCAAATAGTGTATTTTTACAGTGGCGACCAGACGACTCAAATTTTTCTTGAACGTTATGAAGAGTACAAAGATAAGAAAAAACTAGGGATAGTCAAAAAAATACTAATTTAATATTACATTCCCTTATTTTAATACATTTGTGCAATCAAATGTAATACCCAGTCAAACCTATTCATAACGAAAGGACAACTCAAGTTTTTTTTTATTTTATTTTATGAAGAATACAAAGATAAGTAATAATAGGGATAGTTAAAAAAGATCCTAATTTAATACTACATTACTTTATTTTAATACATCCGTTCAATCAAATGTAATGTCCAGTCAATTCTATTCATATTAAATGGAGTAAAATACGAAATCTAATTTAATATTACAGTATTTTTTTAATGTAATATGTCTTTATTTGAACACACTGCATCATACAAATTCATACGTGATACTAAATACTAATTTGAATTACACATTTAAACCAAGGCCAAAATACTTGAACACTCCTTCAAATCTATCTATTCATAGCACATACAGGTCCTCTCCAATTCAACAAGGCTGATCATCGCCTTCCAGTGGCTGGAGAGAGCAAGTGCAGCCTTCGCACGTCATCTCGTGCTCACTGCTTGAATTTACCCTGCCTGCCACGCGAGCATATCAAATACCCGGATGGAGGTCTGTGGAGCAAACCAACAGAAGAGGGAGGGGGAGCTCAATGAGCTATAAAGAGGTGTTGAATGCCATCCCAAACGATACAATTTTTCGTACTATCGCCACATGGCGAATATGTGCATATCATGCACTTTGTGTCTCTCAGGTATACAAACACAGAACTACAAATTAAAAGGCAAACAGATCGTGACTGTGCTTGAACAGTCACTGATATCAAGATGAAAAATGAAGCCGTATGTTATATTAAATAATGCATTTCTCAATATGTATATACGATCTGGACGTCACTTTTGTTATTTTCGTCTGTTGCGCAGCAATGTGGGCGACAGAGGAAGATGGAGAGAGCCAGGCAGGGAGCAGCAAGGGTGGGGGGAGAGTGAGTCAGAGCTGCTTTCAGCACCACGGGAGTGGACAGCGCCACACAGGCGGCCAACTTCTGCAACTGCAAACCACGCTGAATCAACAGGGCAAATCTCAACATGCTCGAGGCACCACCACTATTTTGTTGCGGTAACTCATTGAACGTGTAACTGTGTTACTGCATGCCTATTAAATATATATGTATATATATACATACAGTATAAGACGAGGATATATATATATATAAATCCTCGTCTTACCCCTCGGGTGGTGTCCGTCCCCCATTCAGCTCAGGTCCTCTACCAGAGGCCAGGTAGCTTGAGGGTTTATATATATATATATATATATATATAATACATTTCATTTATAAGCGCCTTTCAAAACACTCAAGTATATCCTTGTAAAGAAGGATATTTGAACACAGGTCTCGATTTGGACGTCATTCACAAAGGTGGACACATTCACAAATGTTCAATACTGTTGGAACCTGAAGATACAACATGTTGTAGATTGGTGGACGCCCCACACGGGAAGGGAAAGTGATTGAAGAGGAGGTGTCAACTCTGCAGTTTGAAACCTACTCATTGAAAAACAACAGCGCTAACAAGAATATGCTGTAAGAAATGCAAAGGACTATTGCACCGACTGTATTTTGGAATTACAGTACCTACAACAGACAGCGGATGTAGGATTTAAAATAATGCAGAAGGAGGAACAATGCAATGCATAGAATTAAAACATAGTTTGAACACTTAAATGCTTGATTATTATTATTCATGATGTATTGTGTCATGCCTTCGACTGCAATTGCTTCTTTAATTTTAGCATAAATACAGGTAATAGAAATACATTCACACTCACGAGTATAACCTTAACATGATGTTTTCATTAGCAAGCATTGGTGCTCAGTGGTCATGATGATCAAAAGGGTCTAATCCAAAATAACTTGTTATCTGGAGTTTCACCTTGCCATATCTTTTATGCTGTCATTCAAACTTTTGACAGGACATGCGCTGTCCAGTTATTGCATCGACTGTACAGTATGTGTGAACCGTGCTCTTTATTTAGAATGTAAGTCAGGGGTCACCAAAGTGGCACCCATGAGCACCAGAGAGCCCCACAAAGGCTACATGAGCAGCCCGCACTATGTTGTAAAAGTGATCAAATGAAAATGTAAACACTGACAGTTTTATTGAAATAAAGTGCTGCATATTGATATGTATTGGTTTCCTACATATTATGAGATAGCATTAACATGATAGTCTCATGAATGAATGTTGTTATTGATAACATAGAATAATAACATTTAATTCACGGTCATTTCAGCAAATGTTATTTCAGAAGTGTGTATCAAACTGGTGGGCTATCACCTTAATTAGTACCGAAGTAGTAGCTCCAAGTTTCAAAAAGGTCGATAATCCTGCAAGTTACATTCCTCTGACTGTCAAGGCTCTCACATTGATGGAGCCATTTTGTGTGGCAATTTCTTGCTGCTGAATACAAACAGAACCTTTTTGAACATGTACCATGTATTATGGTTTCAGGAACATTTCATTGCAGTTTGTGCAAGACACGAACAATCAATCGCTGTGTTTCAGTGTCTTTGTGAGGGATGTGTCAGCCACAAAGGAAATTCAGAACTAATACATTTGTGTTCAATTATTTTGAATGGCTACTGATTTGTCAATGTTTTGTTTCTGTTTTCTTATGTGTGAAAAATATAGAAAAGACTTTCTTACCTTATTTTGTGAGAGATGGTTGAACAGGAGTGAGGGATGCAGGGATGGGCAGCAGTTGACAAGAGGAGACATGAAAGAGAAAAAGACGAGAGAGAAGGGATACTGGTCAGACTGGTGGTCAAACGCTAACCCTGGACTTTGCAAACTTCACAACCAACATACTTACCATGAGACTCACAAAAACTGTCATTATTTGTGTGTGTTCAGCATGAGGTCAGTTTTGCTACAAATGTTCTTGAGCATTGCAATCGTTCATTTTACATGTGCTCTTACTGACAGCAATGTGTTTCCATTTGTATCAATATTCGACAAAGGATGAGCACTCAACAGCACAATTTGAGCACAGAGACTAGCATACAAAGACTTGCATCTGTTGTGTTAAAATGAAGCTCCTGGCAAATGTTCAAAAACAATTACCAATGGCACTATTTAACTGAAAACCAACAGAAAAAACTTTATTAGACACAATATATATATATATACACACACACACACTCTTTGAGTGATAAGCGACCAAATAAATAAGAGCAAGCACATTCACACACAAGCAGAACTATGACGTTTTTTGTTTTATTTTGTTTTGTTTTAGGGGGGAGAAAAAGTAATCTAATAATAAAACTAATCTCAAAAAGAAGCAATAGATAGGATGCAACTCCCACATTCAAAACACAAAATAAAGATCACAAAAGTGAATATGTAAGAAAACTGCATTGAGACATGTTCCAAGCATAAATCCTCATCATCGTTCTTGCCACTGTGGCTCACAAAGTCACTACCATGAAACCAACAGCAGAGGGCCTCGAGGCGATGGCCAGTGAGAAATGTTTTATTCATGAGACATGCCAATCAATGTGGACTGCCTTTGTGCCTGGGAGAAAAACTAAACAACAAAACAATGCAGCTCATTTAACTAATCATCATTTAGTTTATACCCATAAAATGGTGCGTCTAAAAAGGAAATATGGAGATATATGTCTATTTTTGTCACGTATGCCGTATAAAAAAGACCACTTGCAATGCAAACATCTCCGGTTAACGTGATCACTGAGATTTGCTGGAACGAGGACAAACTACCCAAATAGGGCAGTGACAGCATCAATCACGAGGACAAAAAAAAAAAAAAGAGCCCTGATCACCCTCCCCCTTCCATCCTCCCCACTCTCTTCCTCATCCTCCTCCTCCTCAGTATCAGCCACCCCCCTACTGGTGTGAGCATGCTGCACCTCTCTGCCCAAAACAGGGGTGCCTGCTATCCTCTTAATCTCGGCAGCCTGCATACACACGCAAGGACTGCCACTGCTGCTCACCCCTATCACTCGAAATGGTAAAGCCCTGCCAGTGAGTCAGCTTGTTGCCATGGTAACCCATCCAACCTCTTGCATCCCACCCTGCTTCTTTTACTTGCTGGCAGAAGAGAAGAAAAGGAGCAAACAAATAACGTGGAAAGGGAAGACAGAAGAAATTCATTAAAAATTGCGATGCTCTGGTGGACATGTAGTACAATAATAGTGTGTCATTCAAGATATAAGAAGGAAATTAACTATTAGAACATGCAGTCGGCATTAACATGACCCTGAGAAAACACAGTGACATTACGCATTAAACGCCATATGGTGATTTGTGTGTTTTAATCGACAACAAGGATATATGACTGAGCAATCTTTCACTCCCTTTCTCTTTGCTGCAGAGTGGTGCAGCTGGAGCGGGGGAGGGGTGGCTGCAGCAGACAAGCGGATCACAAGCCAAAGAGGAAGGAAGGAAGGAGGACTTAGCAAAACAAGAATAGTGATGGCACAGTGGCCATCCTTGACAGTGGGAACCGCAATCATCCAATCGCTCACGTGTTATTCTAAATTCTCAATAACACACATACACGTCCAATTCGTCATATGTTATGGCAGCGCATCATGCAATTCCCATCATATCATAACAAATTGTCTTTTCCTATTCGGAATAAAGCATAACTGTAACAGCTAAGCAGAATCAAATTATACAAACGTGTGCTGTATTGAGTTATACAGATTCACTATAGGAGTGTCTGTGGGTACATCTTAAATTTGGGTGCTTAACGCAACTTGGCTATTGTCCCACATGACGCTGTTCTGCATGCAAATAAACATCGTGATGTTCATTTCTTTCAAATGTCGGCATATAGAAAATAGTTGTCTTGCAGTCAGAGCAAAAGACTTTACCACAAGGTCTGAAAACTAAAGCAGGCATAAGTACAACATGAAAGATGAACAATGTGCACACGCAAATTCAGTATGGTAATGAGCCTATTGTCACGAAGCCTGAGCAGACATGTAAACAAACTCATACCGGCACCAAGGCCTGTGCTCTAGTTGTTTCCGCACATTATATGAGTTTTGCAGACTGTACTTATTAATATGGGGTATCAGGAAGAATAAAGCAATGCATTATGCTCTTTAAACATTCAAGTGGCAACAGCGCTATAAAGAGGTTAGAGGGCTTTCCAAAAATTCTGTCCATCAAGCTTTACAAAAAAAAAAAAGTTTTTCCGCAAATAGATCATGGGGGGAAAAGAGTGTGCAATTGGTTGATAATCCTTGAAAAGTAAGGTTATATATAAACTATAACCTACTACTATAAACAAATTAATATAGAAATTATACAGCAAATCTGGATTGCATGCACTGGTTTTAAGAATAATGAGATCCAAGACTTGAACTAACTGCCTTTAAGAGTTCGTGCCAGGTTTTAATTTAATCAATTTAGCGATAAACATTTTGAAATATGAAAACTAGAACCACATGGCTGTCACACAAATGAAATAATTATTATTCTTGTAATGGCAGAATTCCTATAACATGTTCCTTTATTGGATTCCATTTGAAGCTGTCCATAATTACTTTTTCACCTCCCACTTTATTTCTTCATTGGCAATTAATGGTGCTGCAAGATATCCAAAACAGCACAGAAAGGTACCCTGAGTACAATTAAGGCCATTGGAGACAAGTGAAAATCATTCATATGGTCATATACAGTACTAGCCATAAAAGTTGTAAAACGGCCTTTCAACAAGTGAGTGCGTTTATTTGTCAACATTGCACCTCACCTACACTTTGAGCATCATATGCCCATGCGTGACACACAGGCAAAGTGCTGTGTTGCTGACCAACACCAACAGCAGCGTGTACGTGATATTACTACAGCTCTGAAGGCGAATAGCTGCCATTCAATGACCAGTTAGCCCACTTTCACCCACGGGGAGAGACATTCAGCCTCTGCCCTACTTTATACAGCCACTCATATTTTGTTACATAACCTCTCTCCCTCCATCCTATCCTTCTGTCTTATCATTCGACCTCTTTAAAGCGCTTACAGAGTCTCTGCCAATCACAGAGCGCACAGTCTAATGTAACTGTTGCCATGCCAGTAACATATTTTCTCATTTCGGTACACAAAGACGGCTACGAAGCAAAATGGCTGCCGTGCATCACAAACACAAACGCTGCACAAGGGATGGTGGAACACGCACCTCGTCCCCTCCCCCACTGCCTGCCTCTGTCCTCCTCTCCATCACACTACTTTCGCCCACTCCATCGCCGCAGATTCAGCAATGAATATTCTCTATTCCACCACACGTTAAAACAACATCATCGCATCACACTTTGCATTCTAAATTGTCATGAGCTGTGTCCATTCTCTTTGTCCCCATGTGGTTGCATCATGCATGCTGGTGAAATAGGTCACTGGAAATGTAGTGCGCTGCATGCCTGTGTGTTTCTGTGTGAGATACATCTGTGGCAAGGTTTAGCAGGAATGAAAAGCCCGCGTCATTAGTGCACTTATATTGATTTCAAATCTGATGACGATATTCTTTGATTGGAACAAACGTCTGATGGACCTGCGCAGATCAACTGATGACAGAGTACTGTATGTCTGAAATAATTGCACATGAGAAAAAAATGAAAGCACCCTAAGGTGGACGGATACAACAAAGGAAAATACATAACAGAAAGATGTTGGTTTACATTTATGATCCAATAACACACATACACGTCCAATTCGTCATATGTTATGGCAGCGCATCATGTAATTCCCATCATATCATAACAAATTGTCTTTTCCTATTCGGAATAAAGCATAACTGTAACAGCTAAGCAGAATCAAATTATACAAACGTGTGCTGTATTGAGTTATACAGATTCACTATAGGAGTGTCTGTGGGTACATCTTAAATTTGGGTGCTTAACGCAACTTGGCTATTGTCCCACATGACGCTGTTCTGCATGCAAATAAACATCGTGATGTTCATTTCTTTCAAATGTCGGCATATAGAAAATAGTTGTCTTGCAGTCAGAGCAAAAGACTTTACCACAAGGTCTGAAAACTAAAGCAGGCATAAGTACAACATGAAAGATGAACAATGTGCACACGCAAATTCAGTATGGTAATGAGCCTATTGTCACGAAGCCTGAGCAGACATGTAAACAAACTCATACCGGCACCAAGGACTGTGCTCTAGTTGTTTCCGCACATTATATGAGTTTTGCAGACTGTACTTATTAATATGGGGTATCAGGAAGAATAAAGCAATGCATTATGCTCTTTAAACATTCAAGTGGCAACAGCGCTATAAAGAGGTTAGAGGGCTTTCCAAAAATTCTGTCCATCAAGCTTTACAAAAAAAAAAAAAAGTTTTTCCGCAAATAGATCATGGGGGGGAAAAGAGTGTGCAATTGGTTGATAATCCTTGAAAAGTAAGGTTATATATAAACTATAACCTACTACTATAAACAAATTAATATAGAAATTATACAGCAAATCTGGATTGCATGCACTGGTTTTAAGAATAATGAGATCCAAGACTTGAACTAACTGCCTTTAAGAGTTCGTGCCAGGTTTTAATTTAATCAATTTAGCGATAAACATTTTGAAATATGAAAACTAGAACCACATGGCTGTCACACAAATGAAATAATTATTATTCTTGTAATGGCAGAATTCCTATAACAAGTTCCTTTATTGGATTCCATTTGAAGCTGTCCATAATTACTTTTTCACCTCCCACTTTATTTCTTCATTGGCAATTAATGGTGCTGCAAGATATCCAAAACAGCACAGAAAGGCACCCTGAATACAATTAAGGCAATTGGAGACAAGTGAAAATCATTCATATGGTCATATACAGTACTAGCCATAAAAGTTGTAAAACAGCCTTTCAACCAGTGAGTGCGTTTATTTGTCAACATTGCACCTCACCTACACTTTGAGCATCATATGCCCATGCGTGACACACAGGCAAAGTGCTGTGTTGCTGACCAACACCAACAGCAGCGTGTACGTGATATTACTACAGCTCTGAAGGCGAATAGCTGCCATTCAATGACCAGTTAGCCCACTTCCACCCACGGGGAGAGACATTCAGCCTCTGCCCTACTTTATACAGCCACTCATATTTTGTTACATAACCTCTCTCCCTCCATCCTATCCTTCTGTCTTACCATTCCACCTCTTTAAAGCGCTTACAGAGTCTCTGCCAATCACAGAGCGCACAGTCTAATGTAACTGTTGCCATGCCAGTAACATATTTTCTCATTTCGGTACACAAAGACGGCTGCGAAGCAAAATGGCTGCCGTGCATCACAAGCACAAACGCTGCACCTCGTCCCCTCCCCCACTGCCTGCCTCTGTCCTCCTCTCCATCACACTACTTTCGCCCACTCCATCGCCGCAGAATCAGCAATGAATATTCTCTATTCCACCACACGTTAAAACAACATCATCGCATCACACTTTGCATTCTAAATTGTCATGAGCTGTGTCCATTCTCTTTGTCCCCATGTGGTTGCATCATGCATGCTGGTGAAATAGGTCACTGGAAATGTAGTGCGCTGCATGCCTGTGTGAGATACATCAGTGGCAAGGTTTAGCAGGGATGAAAAGCCCGCGTCATTAGTGCACTTATATTGATTTCAAATCTGATGACGATATTTTTTGATTGGAACAAACGTCTGATGGACCTGCGCAGATCAACTGATGACAGAGTACTGTATGTCTGAAATAATTGCACATGAGAAAAAAATGAAAGCACCCTAAGGTGGACGGATACAACAAAGGAAAACAGAAAGATGTTGGTTTACATTTAAGATCCAAATACTACAGTAAGGCAACAAATCAGGTTAAAGGCTCATTTGACACTTGAATAAACTTGCAACTGTGTTGCATCTCGACACATACGGCATCTTAACTGCAATCAGCATACAATATGTGTTGTTATTCATATTTTACTCTCAGCTGGTTGAGCCACTGGAGTTCCCCTGTTCACAAAGATTTATTCATCCACTAAGAAAACACTCTTGGGAGGATTAGTAACTTATTAAATAAGATGAACTGTGAAAACTTTATGAACAATAACAAAAGGAAAACATTGTTTGCTTCCATGGACTACAGTGTTTGGATTCATGAAATTGGATATTGAGACGGCCAAAACGCATAAAATTAGCACTAGTAGAGTTAAATGAGATTCGGCCATTCTTAAAGCAGTATTGTGTCTTGATACAAAGGAAAATTACTTTTGAAGGGAAACAACAAAACCATAATATTTAACATTTGGGGTTGAGAAGGAGCATAACAGTGAGTAAACATCATAACAATGATACAATTACTTTTTTTATCCACTGGTAAAGTAACTCATATGAGTAGTAAAATGCAATTAATTTATAATGAGAGATACAAGCAAATATATTTTTGAGCATGTAAGAGGGCAAGTTCTCGAAGTGGTCACAGTTGTGCTGAGGTTGTGCTAATAGTCAAATGCCAATAAAGTCAGTACAACCACAATATGACTGACATAACCGTGGAACAACAGACTGCCCACTGACTCACCCAACTGCGAAAAACAACGTGTGACACGAACGGCTTGAACATGACGCAAAGCTGAAGTGATGCTTTATATAATAGGTTTGACACGGCATGACTCAGACTTGATCTTCGTCTTAGTGTTGGGTGCTTTCTACTGTCTTTGTGATGAATTTGTTGTTTTATTGTTGTATAGAGGGCTCCGTCATTTTAGCAATTACCCACAATGCACCACCGGTGGCCATATTGGAGGGCTGTTAAAACAAGCCATACACGAATAGACTTCGTGTATGGCTTCTATAGAGCCCTCTATAGATGGTATTTGCTTCATGTACAACACTTTATATACAGCGATGATTGTTTTAAAGTGCTCTATAAATACCGTTGAGTTGAGGTTAGTAAGACGCATCTCAACAGGGGGAACGAATAATCAATTCTCACCTCTGCCACCAAAGTTTCGGATTCTGTTTTGGGTCTCTGCACTGTCCTAGTACGGTCACCAGCGCCACTCAGAGCATTAGGACTGATTTCACGGGAAAACATCACGTCACTCTTTCTGGAATCAGTAGTTCCGCATACTTCATAGTTGAACGCCGGCTTCAGCGTACCGGAGCCGTCGACGTCGGCGTAAAGGGGCGGGTAATAAGGAATGACCGGAAGTGTGCCATTTGACTTGAAAAACAGGCGCTCTTGACGCCACCTGTACACTTTGACGGATATGATAAGCAGCAAGCAAGTGATGAAGAGGAAGGACACCACCGCCAGCGCCAAGACTAAGTAAAAAGTCAGCTGGTCATTGTACTCCTTGTCGTGCATGCTCAAGTCAGTGAACTCTGACAGCACTTGAGGGAAGCTGTCGGCCACCGCCACGTTCACAATGACCGTAGCTGAGCGAGAAGGCCGCCCGTTGTCCTCCACGCCAACAGTCAGTCTTTGTTTGACAGCATCTTTATCAGTCACTTGGCGGACAGTTCGGATTTCTCCGTTGTGGAGGCCCACTTCAAACAGCGCCCTGTAACATATTTTCTCATTTCGGTACACAAAGACGGCTGCGAAGCAAAATGGCTGCCGTGCATCACAAGCACAAACGCTCACATCTGCCGAACGAGGCACCATTTCGGCCAGCAGCGAGCCGCCCGTCTGCACCGGGTACAGGACCTGAGGGGCGTTGTCGTTCTGGTCCTGGATCAGGATGCGAACGCTCACGTTGCTGCTGAGGGGAGGGGAGCCTCCATCCTGAGCTCTGACTCGGATGTGGAACTCCTTAGTCTGCTCGTAGTCGAAGGAGCGCACAGCCATTATCTCCCCACTCTCTGCGTTCACCGTAAAAAAGGCAGAAGCTGACATCCCATAAAGTTTGACGTCTTCAAGGAAATAGGAAATGCGCGCATTGTTCCCGGAGTCTTTATCGCTGGCTTCGACGGCTAGCAGCGGCACACCGGGAGCGTTATTTTCAGTGGCGGAGGCTGAATAAGACGCGCGTTGAAACATTGGGGCGTTATCGTTTACATCTGATAATTTCAAATTAATAGTCTTGTTGGTAGAACGAGGCGGGGTGCCCTCATCTATTGCTGTTATTGTTATGTTATATTGCGCCACGGTTTCGCGGTCCAAAACGTCATCGGACACCAAGCTATAGAAATTGAGTGATGATGATTTTATTTTGAAAGGCAAATCTGGGCTAATGAAACACTTGACTTCCCCATTCTTACCAGAGTCTAAGTCTTTCACATTCAGCATAGTGATTGTTGTTTCAAGAGGCGAATCCTCTGGTATTGGATTGGACAATGAAAGGATGCTTATTACAGGCGCGTTGTCATTTAAATCAACTATTTCGATAAACACCTTGCACGTGTCCCTCAGCCCTCCTTTATCTGTTGCCTCAACGTCTATTTCATACTGTTTGACTTTTTCGTAATTTAGCTCAGCCATCACGGATATTTCGCCTGTATTTGCTTGGATATTAAACACAGAAGAGGCCACGTCGCTGTTCTGCGAGAATGAATAGGCCACCTCCCCGTTTGCTCCTTTATCTACGTCGATGGCACTAACTTGTAAAATATTCGTTCCCCTCGCTGTGTTTTCGGGTACGCTTGTTCTGTAACGAGACTGGCTAAAAACTGGTGCATTGTCATTTGCATCCACTACAATGACGTTTATTCTTATAGAGCTTGATTTGGGAGGGTCGCCGCCATCATATGCAGTTAAAGTCAGTTTGTGCTCCTCCTGAATTTCTCGGTCTAACAAAGCATCGAGTGTCATTTCTACATATTTGGTGCCATCGGGACGAGAGAGTATATTTAATTTAAAAGGATCTGTGGGACTAAGCTTGTACGTATGCAGGGTGTTCGAGCCTACGTCTGGATCTTTTGCACCGTCGAGTGAAAAACGAGCCCCCTTAGCAGCAGACTCGCTTATTTCAAAATTCATTTCCCTCTTTGAAAATATGGGAGCGTTATCATTTATGTCAATAATTTCTACATCGACATGATGGAGCTGCATGGGGTTATTCAGGATGATTTGGAAATGCAGAGAGCAAGGAGACACTTGGCCGCACCTCTCCTCTCTGTCTATTCGCTGCTTAATTTCAAGCATTCCTTTATCCAGATTGAGAGCAATGTACTCACTGCTATCCTCTGTAAATATTCTGGCTCGCCCGAATTTCAGTCTCTTTATATCCAAACCGAGATCTTGCGCGATATTTCCAACAATAGATCCGATCGCCATCTCCTCGGGTATGGAATAACGGACATGAGCGTCGGCTACATCCGTGACATGCAGGCAGAAAAATAGCTTCCCAAAGAAAAATGAAAGCACCCACATCGTTTTTTTCAGTCGATCCACAAATGAGATGGCACGAGTTGTGTGGGTGAACAAGGAGCGGTTCTGTCGAGGCGTTTTTACGCGACACGAAGTGAGACGGACTAATGCAGACCCTCAATCTGTTTTTCTCCCCCATGACGCTAACATTGACCTACAGCGGCACTTAGAGACCAAAAGGGGGATTGCAGTTCCTGTTCAGCAATTAAATGCATGTCGCAATACAAACGCGTTATCCCAGAGAACAATGGAAAATATTTTACCTTATAATGCTCTAAACTCTAAAGGAGAGTCAGGTTTATTCGGGGCGCCCGCCCCCCTAAACCCCTGTTATTCAAATCTTGCACACAATCATGAACTCGTAAAATGTTATATTCTCATAAAAATTGTAATTCAGTATGCAAGTAATAATCTTGCGCGATATTTCCAACAATAGATCCGATCGCCATCTCCTCGGGTATGGAATAACGGACATGAGCGACGGCTACATCCGTGACATGCAGGCAGAAAAAGAATAGCTTCCCAAAGAAAAATGAAAGCGCCCACATCGTTTTTTTCAGTCGATCCACAAATGAAATGGCACGAGTTGTGTGGGTGAACAAGGAGCGGTTCTGTCGAGGCGTTTTTACGCGACACGAAGTGAGACGGACTAATGCAGACCCTCAATCTGTTTTTCTCCCCCATGACGCTAACATTGACCTACAGCGGCACTTGGAGACCAAAAGGGGGACTGCAGTTCACGTTCTGCAATTAAACGAATGTAGCAATACAAACGCGTATCCCAGAGAAAAATGGAAAATATTTTACATTATAATGCTCAAAACTCTAAAGGAGAGTCAGGTTTATTCAGGACGCCCCCCCCCCCAAACCCCTGTTATTCAAATCTTCCACACAATCATGAACTCGCAAATGTTATATTCTCATAGAAATTGTAATACAGTATGCAAGTAATCCATTGCATAATAGTTACAGACGTCTGAGGAAAGCAAGTGGGAGAAACAACAGATTAAAAGGAAAAACGTCTCTCTCCATGGTGCTGAAACGAGAGGGCTTCAAAGTTCGGTCTGCTTGTGTTGGAACATAGACAAGAGTTTGTATGATTTTTGTATTTAAACACCATTCCATAGGTTGCCGGGGAAACTGATTGAAGTGTACACTTCCAATTTTATTGCAGGGGGTTTCAAAAAATATGCTACTTATCATTTTAGAAATTGGTAAATATGCCAGTTTTCAGGAGCTCAAAAGCATTTGGCGCGGGCACCAGAAGCCCGCACCGCCACATCGGCCAGTCCTCAGCACAGCCACACACCACCCACAACATCACCACCACCCGCATCAGGTCTATGGAGGCTTTAGATTGGACCTTCAACTCATTCGACTGCCTGGATTACAAAGAGCAGACGGGTGCCTCATCCTGGAAACTGAACTTAAACGCTATTATAGAATGATGTATAGAGGAGAGTAAGGAGAAGGAAAGGAACAGCTCATGTTTCAAAGCATACAAATAAAGTTAATTTGAGATGTGTCACACATGTTGCAAGTAATGCCAGGACATGAGCATGTATACTGTCGCTATGATATGAAAGAGCTCACTTATGTTCATGGATGATGAGACTACTGACAGAAATTACCTGATAAATTGATCTACAAAAACAGTAATGGCATACTAAACCACATACAAGTACAGCATTTTGAAGACAAACAAATTTGATGCCCTGGAATTTCCAAATCAGATCTCTGATCTTAACCCAATCAATTGTGGTGGTTTACACAGTAAAAATCATGAAATAGTTGTCATTCTGCAAAAAAAAAAAAAACAATCACTATTGAAAATAATGAAGTCTAACCTCTAGAGGAGAATCGAGTTCATCCAAGATGTTCTTTTCAATGTGCATCTTCTGCACGGTCCCTGTAAAACGGGGGTCCATTGCCATCACGTTGTGACTTGGAGCTCTGTCCAATTTACAATCACTTTTTCTGGAGTCAGTGGTCCTGCACACCTCGTAATTGTACACATGCGGGAGAGTTCCCGTCCCCAAAGTATCCGAGTAACGTGGTGGACAATACGGAATGACAGGCAGGTTGGAGTGGTAGAGGACACGAGACTGTCTCCACCGGTACACTTTGACCGATATGATAAGCAGCAAGCAAGTGATGAAGAGGAAGGAGACCACCGCCAGTGCCAAGACTAAGTAAAAAGTCAGCTGGTCATTGTACTCGTCGTGCATGCTCAAGTCAGTGAACTCTGACAGCACTTGAGGGAAGCTGTCAGCCACCGCCACATTAACAATGACCGTAGCTGATCGAGAGGGCCGCCCGTTGTCCTCCACGACAACAGTCAGTCTTTGTTTGACAGCATCTTTGTCAGTCACTTGGCGGACAGTTCGGATTTCTCCGTTGTGGAGGCCTACTTCAAACAGCGCCCTGTCGGTGGCCTTGTGCACTTTATAGGAGAGCCAGGCGTTCTGGCCAGAGTCCACATCCACGGCCACCACTTTAGTCACCAGATAGCCCACGTCGGCCGAACGAGGCACCATTTCAGCCAGCAGCAAGCCGCCCGTCTGCACCGGGTACAGGACCTGAGGGGCATTGTCGTTCTGGTCCTGGATCAGGATGCAAACGCTCACGTTGCTGCTGAGGGGAGGGGATCCTCCATCCTGCGCTCTCACGCGGAAATGGAACTCTTTCAATTGCTCATAGTCAAAAGAACGTACTGCATGGATTACTCCACTCTCGGCGCTAACAGAAACATATGAGGATACTTGCACTCCGTTAACTGAGGAGTCCTCCAGGATGTACGAAAGACGAGCATTCTGGTTCCAGTCAGCATCACTGGCTTTCAGTGTGAATATGGAGAGACCTGGAGTGTTGTTTTCTAAAACATAAGCCTCATATGAGCTCCTTTCAAAGACAGGTGGGTTGTCATTCACATCTGAGATGTGTAAGGAGAGAGTGACGCTGCTGGAGAGGGAGGGCACTCCTTCATCTGAGCATGTCACTGTGATATTATACTCAGATGCAGATTCTCTATCCAAATCACCATCTGCTACAATACTGTAAAAACTACTTGTAGCTGTTACTTTAAAAGGTATATTATTATCAATAACACAATTTACTCTACCATTTTCTTCCGAATCTGGATCTTTTACACTCATTACTGCTATCACTGTGTTGGCAGGCAATTCCTCCTCTACTGAAGTGGAAGATGAAATCATTTTAATGACAGGAGTATTGTCATTTTCATCACTCACATCAATAATAACCTTGCTGGAATCATACAGACCTCCTCGATCAACTGCCTCGATATCAATTTCATATTTTTGTGCCTTTTCGTAATCGACAGGGCCTTTCAACACAAAACTCCCATCTTCATTAATATGAAATAATTTGGAAATGCTGCTCATGCTGTTTCCAATGACATAGCTCACTTCTCCATTAGAGCCTTTGTCTGCATCGGAAGCACTAACTTGAGTAATGAGTGTTCCTGGCGGGGAATTTTCTTTAAGGTTCGCTTTGTAAACATTTTGTGTAAAAACAGGCGCATTATCATTAGCGTCTAACACTTGAATTTGAATTTGCATTGTTCCTGACCTCTGCGGCTCCCCTCCATCATGCGCCGTTAAGAGTAATGTAACAGATTCCTCTTTTTCTCTGTCTAAAGGCTTCTGTAAAATCATTTCCACTTTCTTCCCACCGTCTGACTGTCTGTGTAATTTGAGTATGAAATTATCATTCGGCTTTAGCGTATAACTCTGAAGCCCGTTCAACCCGATGTCGGGGTCGACTGCTTTCTCTAACATGAGTTTAGAGCCAACAACAGCCGACTCGCTGATCTCCAACACCCGACCTTCCTTTTCAAAAATCGGATCATTGTCGTTAATATCTGTGACCTCAACAGTCACGGGTAATATTTCTATCGGCTGCTCGAGCGCTATTTGAAAATGGAGCGCACAAGGCGTTGTCTGGCCGCAAATAGCTTCGCGATCTATCTTCTCTTTTATAACCAGCACTCCTTTTTCCTTGTCGAGCTGGACGTAATCAGCGCGGTCCCCCGTGTGGATGCGAGCTTTGCCCGACTGTAAGCGTTTCACATCCAGTCCCAAATCATGTGCTACGTTACCGATGAAAGATCCTTTGGCCATCTCCTCGGGTATAGAGTAGCTGACTTGTCCAAGAACGGCTGGAAAGCCGAGCACGCAGACAAAAAGCAGCGCTTGCCGCGTCATTGTTCAACAAGATGCCTCCGCCAAATCCTTCAACTGCAGCCCTCTTTCACCGTTTGCAAAGTCATCAACAATACAAGAAGGCAAGGGCCAATGCAAAAAAAATATGCCAGATTAATATTCCAAGGGTGGTATTCCATCTAACATGGGCCGTGCGATATGTTTCGATGTCCTGGCTCGACTGAGCCAGCACCGGAGATTTGTTTGTGGAAACGAACACTTGAAAACACTTTGACAAAAGGGCAACAGCGGCCCATCGAGTTCATAACAGGGAACTACATGTAGTAAGGACAGTTATTTTTAACAGCACTTTTAATTTGAGCTACCGTCACACACACACAAAAAAAACAACAACCCAAACAAACAAAAAAAAAAAACAAAACACGGAAATAAGCATATTGCGCCCTGAACAATGTTCTTGGTTAAAATATAACTGGCATTCATAGAGTAAATTATGATTGAAAACACTAACATTTTCCATTAATTAAAAAAAAAAAAAAGAAAATTGCATCTGTAATGCGGAAACAAGAGAGAGGACTTTCCGGGCAATGAGTGGGAAAATGAAGGCAGCTATTATGTCGCTGTCCATAGTACTGAAATAGCTGCAGTCTACAGTTTGGACTGAATTAAACGAAAGAAAAAAGTGGCATTTAAAACATTCTAACCTCTATAGGAGAGTCAGGTTCATCCAGGATGTTCTTTTCCCTGAAAATCTTCTGCATGGTCCCTGCTGTTGAACTGGGGTCCATGACAAGCACGTTGTGACTCGCGGCTCTGTCCAATTTACAGTCACTTTTGATGGAGTCAGTTGTCCTGCACACCTCGTAATTGTAAACATGCGGGAGAGTCCCTGTCCCCAAAGTATCTGAGTAACGTGGTGGACAATACGGAATGACAGGCAGGTTGGAGTGGTACAGGATGCGAGACTGTCTCCACCGGTACACTTTGACCGATATGATAAGCAGCAAGCAGGTGATGAAGAGGAAGGAGACCACCGCCAACGCCAAGACTAAGTAAAAAGTCAGCTGGTCATTGTACTCCTTGTCGTACATGCTCAGGTCTGTGAACTCTGACAGCACTTGAGGGAAGCTGTCGGCCACCGCCACGTTAACAATGACTGAAGCTGAGCGAGAGGGCCGCCCGTTGTGTGACCGTAGCTGAACGAGAAGGCCGCCCGTTGTCCTCCACGACAACAGTCAGTCTTTGTTTGACAGCATCTTTGTCAGTCACTTGGCGGACGGTTCGGATTTCTCCGTTGTGGAGGCCCACTTCAAACAGCGCCCTGTCGGTGGCTTTGTGCACTTTGTAGGAGAGCCAGGCATTCTGGCCAGAGTCTACATCCACGGCCACCACTTTAGTCACCAGGTAGCCCACATCGGCCGAACGAGGCACCATTTCGGCCAGAAGCGAGCCGCCCGTCTGCACCGGGTACAGGACCTGAGGGGCGTTGTCGTTCTGGTCCTGGATCAGGATGCGAACGCTCACGTTGCTGCTGAGGGGAGGGGAACCGCCATCCTGCGCTCTGACAATAAATGACAGCTCTTTCATTTGCTCGTAGTCATATGAGCGAGCTGCAAGAATAACTCCGCTTTCTGCATTCACAGACACAAATTCACTAATCGATCTTCCTCCGATTTCACTCTGCTCCAACATGTAGGAGACACGAGCGTTCTGGTTTTCATCTGGGTCTTTGGCACTCACGCTCAGCACAGAAACACCTGGCGAGTTGTTCTCTGCAACGTTTGCACTATAAATGCTGACCGGAAACACTGGAGCGTTGTCATTCACGTCTGACACTTTCAAATTAAAAGTATGTTTAATTGAAAGGGGAGGAGATCCTGCGTCTGACGCAACAACCGTGATGTTGTATTCTGACACACGTTCACGGTCTAAATGAGCATCAGTCATCAATGCAAAATAATTTCTCACATTGGATTTAATTTTAAATGGAACGCGGCCTTCAATTGCACACCTCACGTGGCCATTTTCCCCAGAATCTTGGTCTTTTACATTAATGATACCGATAGTGGCACCGACGGAGGAGTCTTCTTGTACAGGACTTGTGAAGGACATTACGTTGATAACTGGAGCATTGTCATTTAAATCCATGACTTCTATTTCCACTTTTGCAGACTCGCCCAGCCCACCTTGATCTTTTGCTTCAACCATGAAGTCAATTATTTTGTCTTTCTCAAAGTCTATTTGTTTTGCTATAGATACACACCCTGTCGTCTCGTCTATATGAAACATGCTTGTTATTCCAACTTTTGATTTTGAAAATGAGTATGTAACTATACCATTTGAACCACTGTCAGCATCGGTGGCATTCACAGTCAAAACATGAGTGTTTTTGGGTGAATTTTCAAATAATTTCGCTGTATACATGGTTTGATTAAATACGGGTGGGTTATCATTTATATCGAGAATAATAATTTCGACATTGACAGTGCCAGATCTTTGTGGATTCCCACCATCCACGGCCACTAATTTTAATGAGAGTCGCGGCTGTTCTTCTCTGTCTAAGGCTTTCTGAAGCACCATTTCTGCATATTTTCTGCCCCCCGGACTGACATGTTGTTTCAAAACAAAATGATCACTGGGTGTTAAAACGTAGCTCTGCACACCGTTTGCTTCCACATCAGCATCATACGCACTCTCCAAAACAAAACGGGAGCCAAGTGCAGCAGACTCGCTTATTTCAAATTCTACATGCCTATTTTCAAATTCTGGGGCGTTGTCATTCACGTCTAACACTTCGATGGTTACCGGATGCAGTTCCATGGGGTTTTCCAATAAAATCTCAAAGGTGAAGCTGCACGGCGTCACGTCTCCACACAGCTGCTCTCGATCTATCCTCTCATGGACAACCAGAAGCCCTTTGTCCGCCCTCAGCTCGGCGTACTGGACGTTCTCGCCGGTCACGATGCGGGCGCGCCCCGAACGGAGTCTTTTTCGATCCAAACCGAGGTCTTGGGCCACACTTCCGACGAGAAATGGGGAGGGTTGCGTCAGGAATGGCATCCGGCGTAAAACTTTTGCCAAGACGACCATGCGAGTTGGTAGGACGGTTTACAGGGGCGGATGGAAATTACTGACTCGCTGTGGCGACCCCTGAATAGGGATGTGCCGAAAGGAGAAGAAGAAGAAGAAGACACTCGATATGGCAAAATCACAAGACTGTCACACGGTGCCCTTAAAATAATTGGCATTAGTTAATATATTTGTGAAAAAATGGTTTCGGAGTTGAAATGCACAACATAACCTATAAAATGAAATACTGAATTCAACTGTCGGGATGCCAATAATTTCCCATGGAGTAGGCAGACAGCCCGATGCATTTTTTAAAAGTATATTTTATTTTCATTTGCATGGAGTCAAGGCAAGTTTATTTGTAATGCCCATAATCACAAATGAGCCTCAAACGACTGCACAAAGAAACACTTAACAAATATTTGGAACATCCGCCTCATCCAAACCCTCCCAAGGGCAAGGAAAAACAAAAAAAACAAACAAAAAAAAAAGGCGGGGTTGAAGAAGACATTCTGCTAATAGACACAAATGGGGGAATCCCACTTCCAGGATGACTAAACTGCAGCATGTACAAGTCAACAGACACACGAAGACCTACATTAAAAAAAACAAAACAAAACAAAACAAAACAATAATAATTACTTTGGATTAGTTCCGGGCATTATTGAGAGAAAAATAAGTTGTATAAATAAAACGAGTTGCAGCCTATGATTACTTTATGTAACGGGAATGAAAACTATATTTGAATATAATTTTCATTTTTGACAACATGAAATTATTGAATTAAATGGAATCCAAGTGGCCCGTAATGATATTCATTATCATTAAAAATAATAATATAAACTTATTTCTCTTGTGAGTCCAAATATTATGATTTGTAATGGATTACTAAAATTGATATTTTTCGACAAGAATGAGAAACAAAAATGTTGAATCGAAAGAACGTCTTATTAAACTAAAGCGACAAAAGTTACATCAAGTTTAAGCTAAAATGTACATGAATTGTTTTGTTTTGTTTTTTTGGTTTTCAACTATTGAAATGAGACTTGCTGCAAAGTGCCACTGGATTCAATTGGTATGATCAAAACAATACGTGGCAAAAAAATTACATGACTTGTAAGGTTATGGTGTGTTTATCGTGTGTATTATTTATTTCATTTTTTACATTATGAAATTATGTTGTAAAGTGAAAGACAACATTTCTCTTATAGCGTATCCATCACACACTATATAAAGGTGTTGAATGGACTCTGATAAACAATTGCAATGTTGGTATAATTGTTGCTTTAACCCCATTGCACCCTCCTCCCCACACACACAAACACACACAAAACTGCTTTCACTACACAAATGCAAATATATCATGTGACCAACCTCAAGAGGAGTATCAGGTTCATCCAAGATGTTCTTTTCATTTTGTATCTTCTGCATGGTCCCTGTAAAACTGGGGTCCACAACCATCATGTTGTGACAAGCAGCTTTGTCCTGTTTACAATCACTTTTTCTGGAGTCAGTGGTCCTGCACACCTCGTAATTGTACAAGTGCGGGAGAGTCCCCGTCCCCAAAGTATCCGAGTATCTTGGTGGACAATACGGAATGACAGGCAGGTTGGAGTGGTACAGGACGCGAGACTGTCTCCACCGGTACACTTTGACCGATATGATAAGCAGCAAGCAGGTGATGAAGAGGAAGGAGACCACCGCCAGCGCCAAGACTAAGTAAAAAGTCAGCTGGTCATTGTACTCCTTGTCGTGCATGCTCAAGTCAGTGAACTCTGACAGCACTTGAGGGAAGCTGTCTGCCACCACCACGTTCACAATAACTGAGGGAAGCTGTCGGCCACCGCCACGTTCACAATGACCGTAGCTGATCGAGGGGGCCGCCCGTTGTCCTCCACGACAACAATCAGTCTTTGTTTGACAGCATCTTTGTCAGTCACTTGGCGGACGGTTCGTATTTCTCCGTTGTGGAGGCCCACTTCAAACAGCGCCCTGTCGGGGGCTTTGTGCACTTTATAGGAGAGCCAGGCGTTCTGACCGGAGTCCACATCCACGGCCACCACTTTTGTCACAAGATAGCCCACATCTGCAGAACGAGGCACCATTTCGGCCAGCAGCGAGCCACCCGTCTGCACCGGGTACAGGACCTGAGGGCCGGGATCAAGATGCGGACACTCACGTTGCTGCTGAGGGGAGGGGAGCCTCCATCCTGCGCTCTGACTCGGAAATGGAACTCTTTCAGTTGCTCATAGTCAAAAGAACGTACTGCATGGATGACTCCACTATCAGCACTAACTGACACATATGAGGAGACTGGCACTCC